GTATGCAGAACTTGTTGAACAATGCAACACTTTGAAGAAGGGAAGAGAGGAATCTGTTGTTGGAATTAATTGAATTTGATTTGGGTTTAATTATTAAATGTAATATTTAATGATGTGAGCCATTGCAATTAATTTGGGTGAATTGAAAAAGTCTCCAATATAAGCCCATATGTTGATAAGCTCATTTTAAGTATTTTTTATATGAAAAGGAGTCCCACATCGAAAGTTTACAAGAAAATAGTTTTGTTTATATAGTGGGTTGTGTGAATAATATATAATTTAATAAGTTACCTATCACTTGACTAACTTTAACTAGCCAAAAGCTAGCAAACTAGCCAAAGGCTAGTCACCACTAGAGTGGTCCACTCACACCGCTCCCCGGACCCGGTCCCAGCACGCGCACGTACGCGAAGTACGCATTGGGCGCTTTAGAGGCACACTTTGCACGTACGCATCGTCGCGAGGAGCTGGAGAGCCTTATAGTTTTCGGAAATAGACTCGTGGTTCAATGACGTGGCAGCGCAAGGCTCGGTGATTTGGCATTCTAGGTGGCGCACGTGTGGTAGGTCGCGTCCCTTCGTCCTGCGTGGCGGTTAGATGTACGCGTGGCATCCGCATGGCTGTGACTGTTCAGAAATTGGTGAATAGGCATGATGAATGGACACTTCACTTCATGGTTCAATCTGAGCCGTCAGATCATGAAAATAGTGCGATCCAATGGCTAAGACGAATCAGACCAAGTGGTGCACCAGTTCCTAAAATGTCACACACTTGTTCCATGAAACACTTCAATCCCTATAAATAGAGACCCCCAGATTCGTTTTTTTTTACACACCAAATTAATTACGAATTCAATTGATTTCTAAATTCTTCTCTCTCCATATTCTGCTCTAAAAATTCTCTTATATTTCCGTGGTTATTCCGTTCGAGTACGATCTTTCATTGGTTCGACCGACAAGGTTGGTATTGTGCAGTATCGACTTTGGAATGAGCGTTGTATTTTGGGAGACAGACGTCCATAATCCCGTTTGCACTTCATTGGAGGGGCGAAATCTGTTTTAAGGAGATTTGCTTATTTTATTGGCATACCTCGCTTCATTTACTATTTTCTATTTTTCTGCTTATTTTATTTATTCTTTTGATTGCGTTAGTCGAATTTCCGACAACATCTATAAGTTGATTAAGTTCCCTCCATTCTCAATCTTCATAACACTTGACCAAGGTATTCTATATAACCTTTCCAATGACTCAAAATTTTCTTCACTGTAATAGGATGAACAAGAGGGGGTTCTTGATGAGCTTAAAGCTACTGAAACAAAATATGATGTGCTGAAGGTTGAATAGCATAATTTCCTTAGAGATGCTTTAATTTTAATTTTTATTTTGCTTTTCTTTCTTATATTGTTTCTGTTGCTCTGAATTTCTTCCTTTTCTTTGGTTTTTTTGGCAACGAAAGGACGAAATAGGACAGTATGCAAAGAACGATCTAGCTACCTTTGAAGCAATGAGTTAAGTGTTTCTTCTTTTGTTACTCTTGACATTTTTATTTACCTATCCATTCCCGTTTTTGG